ATAATGCATGAGTTTCTAAGTAGGCCAGCAGTTCTCTGGTCTGAAATCTAGCAAATATATTAGTAAAAACAGCTGAACATGACCAAAATCTGCTGGACCTTACTCTTTCCAGCCTCAGTGGCCAGGACATACTGATCTTGTAGACTCTAGTTTAAGGAGTCTATTGTCCATTGTTCTGCTTCTTGCTCCAACTTGAAGATCACTTCAGCTTTGGTAATGCAGTACCCTTTAATGCATAATAACAGGGACTTTGCAAAATTGTTGTCAGGTTCTTGAAAGGATGACAAGAGCTCATCTTAAGATGCTATGAAACGACAGGGCCAATTTCAATGTTTCTTTGGAGAGGGATGATGCATTCTTTATGGAATAAAATCCTACNCATAATGTAATAAATTGTATTAAAATATTTTCTGATGTACAATTTTCTTTCTTTATTTTTCATTCATAAGAAAATATTTGGCAAAACTTTCACCTACACTTGGTCATAATTTTCAACCAAGTGCTTATCATCTGACACTTGTTTACCCTATTTTATTTCTCTATTTTATTCTTATAACAACAGTGGGAATCACATAGTGCTTTTTTCCCTTCTTATTCTGATTTGAGTATGGTAATACTTTATTGGATCAGGTACTTTCAGGTTCAGCAGGAAACCAATTTTATTTCCTTTAAACAGAAATTTGGTTTAGGTTCAGAATTTTGCCTCTATTGTTCGTTTAGTTTTCATTCTTCCCTACAAAAAGGCTGTAGACATCTGGAAATTTTTCAGATAAAACATCTCCTTTCCCACATAGTAGATAAAGTCATCTTATTACAAGTTTCTCATTTAACACCACTGCCTCTGCTTCTCAAAAAGCTCTATTTTACCACACTGTGCACCTCTTTTCTGCAGGTTTAAGACATTTGGTTTTCAAACCAGATGTACCCACAATATTTCCATTTCTATTTAGCTCCTTCTGAGTTTAACTGGCATTCTACCTCCATTTTCTGGTGCACACACCTCTGCTTTATAATTTGCTGCTTCTGAAGGCTTTTATTTTTTGCAATGAAGTTTCAGTTTTGTCCTATTTTCATAAAAAATAAAGTCTTGTGTACATTCCTTGTTCTCTTTGTTGGTTTAGAATAATATTCACAAAAAGAAGGGGAACATGCTAACTTCAAGTTCCAGTACTCCATACTTGGTTCACTTGATGTTGGGACCCACAATCTCCTTAACCTTCTTCCAAGTCCAGTAGCTCCTTTCCAGGTGCCTATGCTGTGTCCTTAACAGCTTCATACTTTCTGATTCATGGTACACAATGCTCACTTCTGGACCTCTTTGCTCATTTTCTTATCAACACCCTAGGTAACCTCCTCTATAACTATGACTTTAAAAATCAGCTGTAAGCCACCAGTTTGCAAATTTGTAGCTCCAATAGTGACGTACTCTCTAAACTCTCAATTTTATACTTATGAAAGCATAATATGTCAAATCTGGAAAACAGTTAAGTTGAAATTACGCTATGCCAAAGTAAACAATAATCTTCCTAGAAATGCCCAATCTGGATATCCTTCTTAAATTCTCACTACCCACTTTTCTGTCTCTCTCACTGTGGTTATATATTCCCCATGATTCTAATACAAATATTTAATGTATATTATTATCTTGTTTCTCATCAGAATGTGAACCCTATGAAAGAGACATTATTTAGATTATTGCTGTTTTAAGTACAACTATATATCAAATAAACAGTGCTTAAAACACACTTAATTATGATGTAGTTAAAAAATATGTGTATAAATAAATGTTTGTGCTATAACTTAAATGTTCCCCCAAACTCATATTGCAGCTTGATCCTCATATTAATAGTATGAAAAGTGTGGAAAATCTAACTATGGTATTTGAACTGTAAGGCTTTGTGGAAGTTATTAGATAGTGAAGGCCATGCCTTTATGAATGGATTGATCTGTTCATGAAATAGTGAGGTAATGGGTTATTGGGGGTAGACTGGTGGCTTTAAACAGCATGTGGACACACTTTTGCCACTCTCACCTTGTGATACACTGCACCAACTGTGGACTCTGCTGAGAGTCTCCACAAATGAGAAGACGCCCACCAGATGTGACACCTCAACCTTGGACTTGTCTGCCTCCATAACTATAAAAAATAAATTTTGTTTCCTTATAAATTACCCATTTTCAGGTATAAA